ACCATCGTTGTGGTAACGGGTCTGGTACATTGACGATGTCACCCTCATTCGGCATCTCCTTCCATTTGTCCAATCTGGCCTTGCCAGATACGGTATGTAAATAGTATTCCACGTTTCGTATGTCGAAGCGTATCCGACGACGCGTGTTGGTAGATGTCGCTGTGGCCTTAGTGTTGGCCATGAGGGTCTTGTCACGGATGACGTAACTGCGGTCGGAGCGGCGTGAACGTCGAAAGTTGGCAGGAGAACGTGCTCTGGCGTGGGGTGAGCCACGGGACGAACCATGGCTCGGGGAACGTCTGCCACGTCCTTTGTCACTGCCATATGATCTATCACGGCCGCGTGGACTGCCGCGTCCGCCGCCACGATTGTCTCGCCCTCGGGAGGTAGGCCTCGAAGATCTGTCGTATCGACTTCTCGATTGACTGCGAGAGTCTGGGGACCTCCTGGATGTTGAACGGGATCGGTCGTATTGGCGTCGGTTGTCACGTCCATGGCGTGAGTCGCTTGCGTAGCGGAACCCCCCGCGTTGTGAAGAACGTTGGCTTCCTGATCCGCGGGATGGTGATCGGCCACGGCTATCCTGGCTGGAGGTCCGTGGTCGACTCGGGCTTCGCTCAGAAGTCTTTGCACCAAGTGTAAGATGAGCATATTTGCATGTGTCGCCTTTTGGACACTTATTCCGTGCGAAATCTTTACACTGTGCGACGCGTGGAAAGTTACACTTGTCGCCTCTGGTACATGTGTTGCGCTTGGCGGAATCGAAGCAAAATGGTTTCGATGCGGGCTTCTTGTGATTCGCAGGAGTGGACATACTACGGCGGGGGTTGCCACCAGCCGTTGATGTTCTGGAAGATTTATTGTTCTTCCAATCCCTGGAATATGTATGCAAAGCCTTGCACCGTTCACCATTGCAACAATTGCCTTTCTTCCAGGCAGCGCACACGTTGACTTGAGATCGTGTCTCATGTTCGTACCGTAACTTGTTTTGATTCTTCTCCAATTGTTTAAGCTCCAGTATGTCTAGGACACGCTGTCGGAGCCAACCATAGGTACGATTCGGGTCGCTCATCTTCATGCGCTGGTACTCGTACATGTCTTGTTTCATCCATACATGTCTGCGAATCTGTGTACGAAACAGCGATTCCAAGATCTTTGGATCGGGTGCTTCTCGGCATTCCAAGAGTAAAGCATCCCAGTCAGTAATAAAACGTTGCAACTCATCATCTCTCATCCTCAGTTTTTTAAGGCGCTCGAGATCGTGCAGGTCGTCGTCAACCTCTGTCACTTTGTAGGACTGTAGGATGTGCCAGTAAATCTGGCGTCCTTTGAGCATGCGTCCTGCTTTGTGCTCTCTAGTTTCGATGAGCCTGATTTGGTAGCGTAAGTCCGAGGATAAGATGTCGCTCAGAGCGGTAGCGAGTTTGCAATCGATGCTCTCAAAGTCTCCACTGTCTTGTAAGTCCTCGAATGTACATTCGGGCTGTTCGGCCACGCATAGGAAGGCGTATGCTTTGGATGGTCGCCCTGAGGCAGCCCCGAAGTTCTTCCGTACTTTTTGCTGCCACTCGAGCAGCTGCGTGATCTTAGGCAAGACAGGGGCTCGGACGGTGTCTGACTCCTTGATAGGAGTTGTAGTATGGACCGAAACCGCAGACAATGGTTGTGAGGGTATCGGTGCACCGTCGGTAGTTGGTTCTGTGCGCACAGGAGACACATGGCGTGTCTGTGCAGAAGCTGCCGCGGAGGCTGCTCCTGGTGACGTACGTCGTTGTTGTCCTGCAGAAGCTTGTGGTGCTTCGGCGGACGCTGCCGTCGGCCTGTGTAGGTCGGCTGCAGGTCGAAGGTGGAGGTTGGTGTCGTTGGTGTGGTCGATCAGCTGATTCGTCCAGCTCGTCATGTCTTCGTGTATTTGTGCCACCTTTTGGCGTGTATACTCATCAGTATCCCGAGAACGTTGTGAATACCGATCAAGTCGTTGCTCGTGTGCTCGGAGACGGGCGCTCTGTGCCTCCAGCTCGCTTTCCAGACGTGCGAGGTGACTCTCTACACGTACCTTCTCAGTATCTCTTTCACGAATTACCTGGGAGAGCTCCAACTGCGTGTGGTCCGCCGCCATCTGAACCTCCTGCAACCTGTCAGTGAGGCGGGCGAAATCGTAAACCGTGGGAGGAGAATCCAGCTGATCAGTCTGGGCTCGTCCGACACGCAACTCTGCCAGGGCGTCCTGCACACCAGGAAAACGCTGCTCGATGTCAGAGATCCGGTTAGCGAGTGGCTGCGCGACAGCGTTGGTCGCATCAAGCCTTTGAGTGATGACTCTTTCAGTGCGCTGCAACATGTCGATCAGGTTCGACGAGTTGGTGTGTGCTTCGTTGCGAAGCGTCGCCGTAGTGTGGTCTAGATAAGATCGAAGATCATTGATCTGAGACTGAACGTCGCCAAGGTCAGTGGCCTCGGCTGGTGTTGGTCGGTTGCGGAGCTGGTCGTGGATCTCATCATGTAAAATCCTGACTGCTGAAACGCCTGTGTCGCGTACGAGCACAAGCTGTTGCTCCATCTGCGCGAGGTAGTTGCGCAGGTTCTCGACCATCGCCGTTCGTTCACCTGAGTGTGACACCTCACGATCAACCTGGTACTGCAGTTCACCTATGATACGTCGATCTTCGGCGATCCTGGAATCAATGATCCCTAAGGCGCCGTCCAGATCGTGGCGTATGGCTGCAGTATCGGCGGCGTTCGTCTGAACGCTCTGCAGTAGTCCAGAGTATTGCCTGGACACGAAGGTTTCAACCTGGTCTCTGAGCTCAGCTATTTCACCTGCGGCGGACGTTTCCGCCAGCTGGTCGTCTGAGATGGAGAGGTGGGGAGCGTCAGCTTCCCTGTGTCCCCTGTCGCGGGGAGTGCATGGCCTCTGAGAGGCAGTGCGCGGGCTCGACCTACTCTCGCCGTATGGGCCTGGGGCTCCACGGCGGTTGCGCGCGGACGAGCTGCGACTCGGACCATGTGTGTGTGGTGTCTCATCCGATGATACCTTGGGGTACTGCGTCTGCGGCTGTGCCGCCACTGGTCTACTGAGTTCCTCGAAGGTGGCTACGTGCTCCGCCGCGGGGGCGGTCGCAGGGCTGGGGGTGCTGAGGTCCATCGGCGGTTAGCGCGAAAGCGCCCTGGAGTGTCATGTGCCACGCACTCTGAGGGGAAGAGCGCGAAAGCGCCCTGGAGTGTCATGACCGGTGAGGCTTTCGCCTGACGCGGTTGGGATTGCTCCCGACGGGGAAGGGGATGGAGGATCGAAGGTAGGCGTGTGAAACTCCTTCCTTCCTGTTCCTACTCCTTCTCCTGTCCCCCCGCGGGCGGCGCTGCGGTGAAGCTCAGCAGCTAGTCGCGCCTCGGGTCCGTCGGAGCTGGGGGGGGTATCTGGAACACCAACACAGTCCGCATTAAGGCTCTCCAACTCGTCACCGAGCCGTCGCGCCGTTGGAGAGCTCGGACGCGAGGCCTCGATGGACCCCTTGCGGCGCATGCGCCGCAGGGGCTCCATCGAGACCGCGTGCGAGATCACAACGTGCGGTTCGGTGAAGGTGAGCTTTAAAGGGCTGATAACCTGTGTGTGGGGTTGAAGTACAAGGGTACAGAACCCCTGATCCGTTGGTAGAGAGAAGGAGGGATAGATGGATGTCTTTCCCTCCTGCACGATCAAAGGTATGATCGATCTGTCTCAATACCTGAGCCCAAACGGCCAGGCGCAGGAGAGGTAAGGATAAGGAGTATATATGAGGGTATTACACGGGTTCTATTCACAGGAAATCCCATGGGCTTGCCATTCAGGCGAAAGCCTCGTTTTGAGAAGGAACTGCCCTGAGCCTTCTAGCTATATAGTGTGCGAGCATGTATTGTCGAACAATTCGAACATGTATCCAGCGAAAGCCCCATTTTGACATGGAGCTGCCCCCCATCCGTATCCGCCACCGTGCCTCTGGGCACGGAGTGGGCGTGTCCTCAAGTACCTCGCCCTCTTGCCTAATCTTTGAAACCTCAATCTGTCTCCCCCATCCAGCACAGCGCTCCTATAGGAAACTCCACCTAAGGCTCCAGTGGCGGTGTCCACATGCGTTTCCCCCACCCAGCGCAACTCTTCGCGGCCCCATAGGCAGCTCCACCTAAGGCCCCAGTGGCGGTGTCCACATGCGTCCCCCCCCACCCAGCGCAGCGTTTCGTGGCCCCATAGGGAGCTCCGCCTGAGGCCCCAGTGGCGGTGTCCACATGCGTTTCCCCCGCCCAGCACAGCGTTGTGTGGCCCCATGGGGAGCTCCACCGAAGGCCCCAGTGGCACAGTTCGCATACGTCTCCCCCACCCAGTACAGCGTTTCGTGGCCCATGGGGAGCTCCACCGAAGGCGATGCCCGCAACTGCGGCACTCACAACTTCATGGTTGGGTTACGCAGAAGGCATCTAGACACCGCCACCGTGCCAGGCCAGCTCTACACCATGCTAGGGCCCAGGATAGCCCTGGCCTGGCACAGTGGTGGTGTATAGACGCCTTCGTCGGATGGGTCTTTCGCCAACCTAACTTGTGGAGCGCGTCTCAACGGTCCCTTCACTTCGCGTTAACCCTTGATCTTTATGTGCAAATCTACGCCACATGTGCAAACCATTTGTTTCGCATTTGTTTCAAGCCGGTTTCAGGTAGGACGCCAGGACGAGACACCGTCGATAACTGACTTTAACAGAATTGCGTATCCATTGAGGCAGAATCGGTGCAACCAGTGCGACAACCCAAACTATCAAAAAAGACAAATCCACCTGGTGAAACCAAGATGGCCACCACGAACAAGTGCGAAACTTCGCGTCTGGATTTATGCACGCAACCCAAAAACGAAACTCGAAACGCGTTTTCCCGCTACATCGAGATTTCCTTCGCGACTGGAACGCCAGACTTCCGACTTCGTGTCTTTCAACATATGCCCCCCGAACTCTCGACACCTTCCCAGGTACCCGTGCTCTTTTCCGAGTAGATTTGACGATGGAGCCCGTCCCTAGAAGCCGACAGCCGCAACATATCCGGCGCGAATGTTTGTGGAAATGCCACAAGTCTTGGTGCCCAGGTCTCCTCCCGCTTCAGCTCGCTCTGCCTGAAATAAAACTGAAAGTTCGCGGCGTCCAGCTTGTGTCTGTCGCCCCACTTCGCCATAATCTTACCGAAGCTGGCTGTCATCCTGGAGAAGCAGGAGGGAAGAGGCGGAGGGGGATGTGGAGCAGGAGCAGGGGATAAGGAGGAGGACGAGGGAGGGGAAGGTGAGGAGGAAGAGGAGTGACTTTGTCATCCTGAGGCAGTACCTGGTCACTGGTTGGCCTTCGCACCTCGGGCGGCGCAACAATAGCATCTCCCTGTCTCCGTGCCCTTCTCCTGCTGCTGCTCGACGTCGTGGCGCTTTCGTTGCCTCCGTTCCTTCCGAGTTCTCTACTCCCTCCTCCCGGTGGCCCTTTTAGCCCAGAGGCCACCTCCTCGTCTTCCAGCGCGACTAAGTGGTGACCGCCGAGGGCTGGATTGGGCGTGCAGCCCCTCATCTCTCACTTTTACTGTGCTTGTGCCCAGCTAGCGCAGCCTCTGGCCATGATGCGAGCACCTCGCACTGGGGAGGCGGCTGCCCACAGAAACGCTGCATCGTGTGCCACGCCGCCGGCTGCACTGGATGAGCCTGGTGCGGATGAATTTTGTCTGAGCTCACAGGAGCCGAACTCCTCGAGGGGTGCCGCACCCGCAAATGGTTCTGGTGGCCAGCCCTATCCCATCAAGCAAATTGGCCGCTGCTGGCGCTGGCGCAACCGAGGCGACGAGCACCTAGGATATCGTGGAGGTCCCTCCAGCCTCCGACTCGTCCGAAGAGGTGGCGGCCAAGGAGCATGTCACCATCTGCATTCAGGCCTCCGACTTTTGGAGGAAGACCGTCGGTCAGCAAGGCTGTCAGTACCAGTGAACGCTCGAAGACCTTCGCAAGGCGAAATCTGAAGCGCTGCAGAGGAACTCCATTGATACATATAGCCAGCCCTTCGCCGACCAACTCTTGCGGCAGCGGCGCTGGAGTGTATCCAAGAAGTCTAGTCTGGAACATGCCAAACTCTGCGAGCAGCGTCTCCAACGGCACACTGGACTCCGAGGGGAGGTCCAGCAACTCGAAAACCAACACGCCGCTGCACCCCGTGCAGCGATGCAAACGGCTGCCGAGAGGAGAAGCTCCCCGAGGGCCCGAGCGCGTCGGTCACCCTGCCGGACTCCACGAGCGCGAAGGTTTCCGACGGCACCTCCGAGGACACCAAGGCCCAGCTCGTGACAGTCCGCAGTGAGCTAGACCAGGAATAGAATGCCGCTGCAGCGGCGGCGGCCGAACCAAACGTGGTCGAGTGCCCGAGCCCGCGCGGAGCACGTGGGGGCCCACTTCGGCCCACGGCCTCCAGCGCGACACCGAAGTCGCCGCCGCGGGCAAGGGCTGACTGTCGCAGGGTGCGTCCTCGCATAGCGCGGAGGCCCACGAGAGGCTCCGCGAGAGGCAGGAGAGCCTGCGGGCAACGGCAAAGGCTGAGTCCGCCGCCTCTCCTGTCAGCCAGCCTCGGCCAAGGGGGAGACACTCCCGACATCTGTGTTCTCAGCGGCAGCTCCAGGGCTGGGATCTAACAGTTTGTTGGAGCAACGATCTCCGAAAGTATCCAGCATCTGCTGCCAAGCAAGTAACATCTTAGAGCCCCCCCATGTCCGAAGCCGTGCAATGCAATCTTGATGCCTGCCCAGACTAGCCCGAAGTGTTCTGCTGTCCACAATCGCGGGCTCCTTGCTCGAGCAAGTATGTACTACGGTATACTTGCATTTCCCAACTCGGAAGGTCTACCAACTTCCAGTTTCTCCGCTTCACGTTTGGAACTACCTGGGCACCATCCCTTCTGCTTATGTTCGACCTGCCTGACTGGTGGAGTCGGCCTCGACGGAGCCAACTCGGCCCTGCTTGCCTGCATCGTGCAGCTGGCCAACAGTCGTTGCTTCCCATTGACCATGGCAAAATGAATCAACGCCTCGCCATCTGAATTGCCTGAGCGCGAGTTCCCGGCCAGGGCATGGCTCCAGCTCCTACGGTGGGAGCACTGGATAAGGAACCATGGGATTCAAAATCCAAGGGCTGGAAGCCAGTGGGAATTGCTATGGATATCACTTCCGGGTAATGAGCCCCCGAAAGGTCTGAAGCCTCCTGGGCACATTCCTTGACCAACCGCCCCCACCGAGGTGCTGGGGGCGGGGGGCTGGCCAACGCCCGAAATGTGAGAGAACCCTGCGGTGGGCACGCGTAGGCACCGCTTCGGTTTCAATTTCGTGGCAGGGCGGAGCCAACAGGGGGGGCGGGTGCTGGCGGGCGGGCTGCGGTGACCCCTCTCCCCCCTCGGGCCCAGCTGGTGCTCTGATCTGTGGCGCCGTCGGCAAGCTCGTCAGATCTGACCCGTGTACCCCGCTGGGTGGAGACGTGATGCAGTGAGAGCATCGGATAAGGAACCAGTAGGTAAGGATTCCAGAGTTTGGAAGCCAATGGAACTCCAATCGTGGATTGGCCATGGATATCACCGCCGCCCTCATCAGATAATGAATCCTCCAAGGTCTGAAGCCTGCTGGGCACACTCCTTAACCAGCGCCACTACTATAAGAAAACGGTGGAGCGTGAGAACGAATGCTGTCCTGGGCACTTCCCAAGCCTCGCCAATTTCGTCATCAGCCCAAGGGACATATGCTATGCACTTTCGACAAATTGGGCTCGGAGTCTTTGTTTTGGTGTGCTGACAGTGTGCAGGATATACCGAGTTTGTACTCTCAAACGCTTGCGCAAGTCGTGCGCTACGAGGGCCATCCCCACCGAAAACATGGTCCACTGTGATCCTCCCTCTGTATCCGCGCGCTTGTCTTCCTCCCTCCTGCTCCTCCTCCTCCTCCTCCTCCTCCTCCTCCTCCATCCTCATCATTACCCCCTCCTCGGCCCTTCTCCTGTACCTCCTCCTGATCCTGCTCCTCTTACTCCCTCCTCCATCTCCGCCTTCCTCCGCTCCCCCTCTTCCTCCCTCCTCCTCCTCCTCCTCCTCCTCCTCCTCCGCCTCCTCCTCCTCCTCTTCCTCCCTGCTTTCCGCTCTTGTGGTGATGGCCCCTGAAGGAATCCCCACAAACCACATATCTACCACGAATCAACCTCACAACTGGACAGGAACCCTCACTCCCATCCATAAGCTCTCGCGGAATGCTCCCGCAAAAACTTTCAACCTCGCAATCGATGTCCCTTCTCCCGGCCATGACTTCATAGAACCCCTGTGCTCACCCGAGGCGGCCTCCTCCTCCCTGCTTCCCTCTCCTTCTCTCCTGCGCCTCCTGCTTTCTCCTACCTCATCTATGCCCCCCCCTCCTCGTTCCTCCCCCTTAGGAAACCTTGAGAAACACACGAAGACAACCTGAGTTGCCCCCACGCCGAAGACGTCCGAGATCGCCAGAATGTTAGCCAGCGTGGACGCCCCGCAGGAAGTTATTGCACTGTGGATATACAAGCTATGTGGTGCAAGCTATGTGGTGTAAACCATGTGGTGCAAAATACGCGGTGCAAGTTAGAAACGGCCACGGGCGACAACGTAGGAAAACCTCGCCCGAACCTCCCAGCGCACGAGGCGGGCACGAGGCGGCCACGGGCGGCAACGTGACGAAACTTCGCCAGACCCGCCCAGCGCACGAGGCTACCATGGGCGGCAACGTGGCGAAACCTCGCCCGACCCGCCCAGCGCACGAGGCGGCCACGGGGAGCAACGTGGCGAAACCTCGCCAGACCCACCCTTCGCACAGACCAGCAGCGAGGCGGCCACCGGGCGGCAACGTGACGAAGCCTCGCCGGATCCACCCAGCGTGCGAGGCGGTCACGAGGGGGCCACGGGCGGCAACGTGGCGAAACCTCGCTTGACCCGTCCGATTCCTCAGCGACAGACTTAAGAACCCCTAAGTGCAAACGCTGTTTGGACAAAGGGCGCGTCGCCGTCCGCGTCTTCGTCGCCGCTTCCACCGCGTCGCCGCCCCGCCGCCGAACGCCGCCTTCCCAGCCCCCCGGCGTTGTGTTCTTTCACGATGTTGGCCCCAACGGTCTCGACTCCTGCCGCAGGGCGCGCGCCGGCGTTCAGCGCAAGCGCGCGTGCGGCGAGGCGCCTGCTCGGCGCCACGGGTACCCGCGGCGGGGCGGAGCCGCGCTGTCGGCGCGGCAGCGAAGCGCAGCCCTCGCGCCTGTGACGTGGCCCGCTGGGCGCTCACCCGCCGCCGCGGCTGCCGTCACCGCGGCACTGCGGCGGCGACGCTGTCGCCGCTGTCGGCGTTGGTGCTTCACCGCCTCCGCGGTGTCGGTCTTCACCGAAGCGGTGTCGCCGCTGTCGGCGTCGGCGGCACCGCGGCGGCGTCGCGCCGCTGCCAACAGCGCGTCGGCGGCGCGTCGCCGGGGACGTGGTGCGCGTCGAGGCACGGCTGGCGGGAAGACACGCGTGCAGAGGCACAGCGCGCGCTCCGAGGCGCAGTCAGGGCCCGCGGATCAATCAACCACGCAAGCAGATCTCAATGGGATTATGGTCGCTCAGCTCCTTGGCCAAGCTCTTCTTGACGGCGGGCGGCACGTCAACCCACTCAATGCCTTCAAGGGACTGCTGGCAAGCAAATGATGGTACGTAGCCGTCCCTGCAACCCTCAGAAAGTACTTCCGACAAATCCATGTCCTCAAGAGAGAACACCGATGGCGGTCCAGCCTTCTCGGCTAGAGTGGCATCGGCGATGATGCGATCATATGTGTGATCGTTGTCCGCCACTGTGGTGTCGACGTCATTGCCAATCAACAGCGAGTAGCCGGCCCATTCTGGTCCGAGCTGTGAGTCTGGCCACTCCTCTTCGTCTTTAAAATAGCCACCATCAGCGTTGAAGTCTCCGACGATGGCGAGGCGCAAATCCCCGCGG